CAGTTTCCTCATTAGGTAAAGACTACCTTAGGTCTCTGGACGTACACATAGTCTTGAAAGGCTGGGTTAGGGAGGACTGGCCCGTCTCTGTGAGCCCGAGTGTTGATCTTCTTGAATGCCCCCAAAGATACCAGATTCCCGCGTGCTCTTAGGATTACTGCGTATCCTGTCCCTGACAAGAATTCAAGGTTCGTTAGCCTGACCTGGCATCTTTCCCAAGCACATATTCCCAGGTACAAAGGGAAAATTATTAAAACTTGTCACAGGTGGTTTATTGCTGACCCACAATGATGAAAAAGCCCTTTCATGGATCCTTCTGGCATGAATTCTTCAGATGGGCATTTTAGGGAGGGGGTGAGCAGCCTGTCCTTTTGATTTCCTGACCCAAACCAGAATACACAGGCGACTCAGGACCCCAGCTCTCCACCCTCCGTCCCTTCTCGGTTTTCATTTGATTGAGTTAATTTATTTGTTCATTCATTCATTCATTCAACCTTAACGGGGTTTCTTTTTCTGCTGCTGCTCTGAGCTCTGGATATTTCTGATCCGAAGCCCCAGAGACCCCACTTCTGGCTGTCAAGGACAGGGAGACTCAAAACTCCCGAAATCTTTTCTGCTTGGGTGATATGGGATGATTCTTTTTTTTTTTTTTTTTTTAAAGATTTTGTTTATTTATTTGACAGACAGAGATCACAAGCAGGCAGAGAGGCAGGCAGAGAGAGAGGAGGAAGCAGGCTCCTTGCTGAGCAGGGAGCCCGATGCGGGGCTCGATCCCAGGACCCTGAGATCATGACCTGAGCCGAAGGCAGCAGCTTAACCCACTGAGCCACCCAGCGCCCCAGGATGATTCTTTTGAATGGGAGCTCGGACCCACCAGGATGAGAAAGAAGTAGCCTCATTTTATACATCTTGTTTTGGAAAGAAATGCAGTTGTCTCTCCTGACCCCTGAAATGTTTGTACCCTCTGCAATCAAGAAGGGTTGGGGAGCACCCCAGTTCCCAACCGGTTTCTTCTCAGTAGGACCTCAGGGATTTCAAGCTTCAAATTAACTCTGACTTAGGTTAACGTGGGCCAGAGAGTGGAAGGTGAGAATCAGAGACCCCCTCCACGCCACCCCCACCATGGGGCTCATGTCCTAGGGGTGTCAGTCCCCAGGGAAACCTAGGGGAGTTTTGATGAGGAAGTTGGACCCAGGGTGGGGGCCAGCAATCATGGTGGCTGGTTCCTTCACTCCATTGAGAGGTTCGCTGCCAAGCAAAGTGCAGTTAGAAGGTGTTTGCCTACAGGTGTGATTCACCTGTCAGCATTTGTCACTGCTTGTCATTTCAGATTTATAGACCCAACTGTTCCTCCAGTAGGGTCCATTAGGTCCCTGGCATGGGGGCTGGGCTGGCCAAGGCCAGAACTGTCTTACCGTCTAAGAAGCCCCATCCAGGTCTGGAGTTCCACATTCTTTCTCGATTGTGGAGCAGGCTCTGGGGGAGTTACTGTATTTCCTTGAAACCCAGCAACACCAACTTTTCACATCTTTTCAGAACAATGAAACAGGTTTTTAAGGGGTGAAGTCACAGCAGCTTGAAAACGAGACTGGAAAAACCCCTTTCGCTAACAGTCGTGGTCGAAGGCCTCCCGTGAAGAGTTTTTCTTTGTTACAAAATTGGTCTGTAAAGGTGTAAACTTTTTCAGCTCGTGTGTCCTTACGTGTTTGTGATATCTTGTGTTGGGATATGTGTTTCCTTAATTAAAGTTAAAAATAAAAGAAGTGCATGGACTTGACAAAAATGCTGCAGTGGTAACAGAGGGATAAAAAGTAGAAGACAGAAGTCTTGCTCACATGTGTGGCGCCGGATACACATTTTCCGTACAGATGGGATTATTTTGTGTATACCCATGTCCCTTCATTTTAGACTTTAAGGAAGGATTGTTAGCAGATAAGACAGACGCTACTGAAAGTCAGAGTCATTGACTTAAACAAGTTAATGAATGGGTTTCCAAAGGCTGATGTAGGCTCATAGCGAAAAAGACCGAAAACAGTCATTACTTGATTAGCCTGTTCCATGGAGGTGGAGGTCAGTGTGACAGCACCTTCCATTCATGGGAATCCTGGTTGCCTTCTTACGACATCATTCAAACAGGGTGGAGTTTCCCATTCTAGAGCATAAACCTCTTGCTAGCGTAAACCCCGTCCATGTCCACAACAGAAACCTTGTTAGGTATCCGAGCGTAGCCCACTGAAGATGGGTGCGCAGAATGTGTCGAGCTGGAACAGAAACGGAAAAGAAGCCCCTCGGAGCCCCGCACTTGGCTGAGAGGAGGGAGTGGGGGTGGGTGGCAGAGCTGGGCGGGATCCCGGGTTGGATCTCCCCACTGCTTCAGGCAGTAGCAGCCCAGGAGAGCCTCAGGGTCGTGGAAACAGAAAGAACCGTGAAGCTGCAGGTGTCCACTTGTGCAGAGTCTCTTGGAGGAGGAAGGGGGGGGCTCAGCACCCCGATGGAGTGGAAGTGTGGACATCTGTGGGTTCCCTAGGACAGTGACTCTTACGGCGTCTGGCCCCCACAGGGACCCTGTGGAATATTGCTCACGGTTACAGAGGACCATATTGGGCACCTGTGTCCCCACTTCTGGTCTTAAAGATAATACATCTGAGAACTGACACCTCCCATGCGCTCCTTTCTCTGTCACCCTCTGTCACTCCCCAGGTCTGCTCTCTCCTAAAACCTGCCTCTGTCTCCTTCCCTAAAGATTAAATCTTCCAGGAACAAAGGGGAAAGGGGTTCCTTTTCTTTTTTAGACCCCCCCTCCCCCCAATGCTCTTGGACTTGGCTCAAAATAACATGGCAGCTTGTTTGGCATTAAAATTGCTAGACTCTTGGATGTGTTTCCTATCACTGCCGTCGCCAGCTGCTGCGAATCTGATGTTTTGAAACAGTCGATGGATTCCAGTGGTGTAGGTGAGAGGTTGGAGCCGGGGCTCACCCACCTGTGATCAGGGTGTCGGCAGGGCATCCTGTGTTGCTCCTGGATGCCCCAGGGTGCCTCTGTGGCCTATCCTTTCCCAGCTCCTAGATGCTGTCCGCATTGCTTGGTTTATGTTCCTTCCCCCGTCTTCAAAACCAACACCCTCTCATCGTCCGGAGCCTCCCTCTGCCCGCAGTTTTCTCCCTGGCCACAGCTGGGAGCGTTCTGCCGCTTGAGGACTCCTGTGATTATGACAATCCGGAATGGTCTCCCAGGGCCCCGTCCCTTGTGTTTGTCTTCCCCGCCAAGCCCGTTTTGCCCTGTAAGGTAACAGACTCCCACGGCTGGGGATTGGGATGTGGGCCTCTTTGGGGCCATTATTCGGCCTGCCGCACACCCTGTGAACTTGCCACTCAGTGGCAGGGCGGGGGACATGGGGGTTGGACTCCTGACTATGGCCAGGCACCCCCTGAGGGTATGCTGATGCGCGAGCCCCTGTGCTCTGCCTGCAGCATGGGGGGAGCTGGGAGCTGGGAGGATGTGTTTCCTTTGGGCTTTTTTACTTGGGTCACTTAGACCCAGGAGGCGATCCTGTGACAGCAGCAACCATCACCGTTGCTGGCCGGGAGCAGGCCGCCACGCTTGCCTCTGAGTCTGTTTCTGCGCCCGTCAGGTGGAGTCGGTCCTTCTCAGCTCAGCGGGCTGGTGAGGGGCCGGCTGACCCTGGGTGTGGACCCTGCCCCTTGGGTGCACCGTGGGCTTGTCACGCTTACTTGTGTCTCCTTCCCGGGCAATGGCAGGAAGGGCCAGCGGGGTTGCATGCGCTGCTGTCCCATCCCTCCCCATCTCCCCTCTCTGTCCCCACCATTGCGTTCCTTTTCTGCTATTACTTCCTTCTCTTCCTGGACACTCAGCCAGATTCATCTGTGGACGGGGTTTTATTTTCTTCCCCAGCTTTTAAAACAGGTGCATTAATTGCATCTAAAAGGAAATCTCAGGGACAGGTCCAGATCTCTGGTTTTTCTTGAGAAGCTGGAAGCTCTGGCTCTTCCTGGGCTGCGTTCCCTTGGGGCAGTGTCCTTCTTCAGTGTGATGGGGGTCACCACCCCTGTGGATGTGATGCGGGTCCTGTTGCCCCCACCCCCCACCCCCGGCAGTCCTCTTCACTCCCTTGCACGACCAATTTGGCCCCCGTTTTGGAGTTCGCAAGCCCCCTGCCTTTGACCAAAGTGAAGCAAGCCTCACTGAGGTTACTAGAAGCTTCCAGGTGGCAATAGAAGCCTTGCCTCTGGGAAGTGCCATGTGTGGTAGGCGGGCTTGGGCGCCAGGTAAACCGAGGACCTACATGGCCTGGCCACGCCGCCGCCCGCCAGCATCACCTTGTGCAGCTGAATTAGTGACCTTCCTCACCTGCGTAGACCAGTGATCTCCCCGTTGGCAGTACTGCCTTCTGGGCTGGGGGCCTGGGGGCTGTGTTGTGGGCTGTTTAGCAGCCCTTTGCGGGGTAGGAACCAGGACGTGTGAGGGGCACACACCCCTTTCTCCAGTTGTGACGACCAGAACTGTCCCCACACGTTGCTCTGGGTCCCCTAGGGGGCAGAGCTGCCTGGTGGAGACCCACTGTGGACACCTGCCTGTTTGGGTGTTGGAGAAGCTTACAGCAGAGTGTGAATGAGGGGCTCTCCCTCCCCCCACCTGCACTGCTCCCTCCTTTCCGGCTATTGCTGTGGGCTCAGTGCGAATCCTCCAGAAGGGGGCACTCTTGACCCTGTGTGCTCTCCTGGGAGCGTGTAGCCCTCTCTGGGGCCTGGGGGAGAAGGTGAGCCTTACTGTGTGGAGGGCGGCTGGGCGAGTGGCAGTGCTTGCCAGCCCAGAGGGACCGATGCTGTCTCCACCGGCAGACCCAGCCTTCCCTGGGGACACAGTGACAGCTGGTGCTTTGCCGATCGTGGCACCCCTCCCGCCTTGGTGTTCGTTTGCTTGACCTCTGAACTGGGACCCTTGGCGGTGTATCTGACCTTCGACCCTGTGTCCCGTTTAGGTGGCCCTGGTCCAGTGGACCGAAAGTGTGGGCTTAACCCTGGTGGGCCGAGACCAGTCGTCCATGCAGCTGAGGACCCCTGGCGACCAGATCCTGAACTTCACCATCTTACAGATCTTCCCTTTCACCTACGAAAGCAAGCGGATGGGCGTCATCGTGAGGGTGAGTTACCCCCATCGGGACTTGGGACTCGAGGTGATTCCAAAACTCAGGTCTCCTGTGTGGGTCCCCGTAGCTCAGCGTTCTTTCTTAACCTTTTCTTACCGTTTTTCTGGCGATGATGTCTGTTGTCCAGACTAACGAGAGAGTAGAATTGCCTGAACGGAAAGAATGTTTTTGGTCCGCTGAAGTAGACAAGACCTCGGATAGTGCATCAGCTTCTGGTTAACCTAGTTCTAGAAGGAAAGGTCTCACGTACGCGGACTGGGCATTCTTGATACAATGCATTCCTCGCTGTGTACGCTTTTGTTTAAACACCTGTCTGCTGAGGTGAAATTCACGTAAGTGAACCATTTTAAAGTGTATAATTCAGTGGCATTTAGTAGATTCAGTATTGTACACCCACCACTTGTTTTTTTTTTTTTCTTTTCTTTTCTCTCTCTCTCTCTTTTTTTTTAGAGCATTCATGTGCCCTGGGAGGGTGGAGTGGAGGGAGAGAGAGAATTTTAAACAGACTCCTCACCCAGCATGGAGCCCAGTGCGGGGCTCGATCTCACGACCCCCCGATCATGACCTGAGCTGAAATCAAGAGTCAGACCCTTAACTAACTGAGCCACCCAGGCGCCCTGCAGCTACCCTTTCTGTCAAGTTTCCAAACATTTTTAATCACCCCAAAAGGAACCCTCATGCCCTTTAAATATAGTGACTCCCCATCCGTCCTTCATTCTAGTCCCTGAAATCACCCGTCTGCTTTTTGTCTCAAGAAGTTAACTGATTCTGGATACTTCCTGTGACTGGAATCCTATGATACGTGACCTTTGGTGTCTGACTTCTTTCATTCAGCCTGATGTTGTGCTGGATCCATCCATGTGGAAGCATGAACCAGAGCTCCATTCCTTTGTGTGTCTGGGTCATCGCTTGTCCGTTGGTTGTTGATAGACATTGGGTTGTTGCATTTTTGGCTGTTGTGGGTCGTGCTGCTGTGAGCACTCGCTTGCAAGGATTTGGATACCTGTTCTCAGTCCTTTTGGGTTGAGACCTAGGAGTGGAATTGCTGGGTCATGCTGGGTCCATCACCTACTTGCTGGATAATTCCATCATTTAACTTTATAAGGAAACTTCAAATGGTTTTCTGTAACACAGCACCATTTTACATTCCTAGCTGATGTGGGAAGGTTCCCATTTCCCCACATCCTCACCAACACTTCTTATTTTCCTTTTTTTTTTTTTTAATTGTAGCCATTGTCGTGGCTGGGAAGTGATATTTCATTGTGGTTATGATTTGTATTGACTTAATGACTGATGATGTTGTGTATCTTTTTGTGTGCTTATTGGCCAGTTTTATATCTTCCATGGAGAAATGTGTATCTAAGGACTTTGCACACCTTTTAATTTGGTTTTCTTTCTGTTGTTCAATTGTAAGAGTTCCTTACATAGTCTGGATATCATCTGGGAGATGATGTGTAACTATTCTCTTTTACTCTGTAGGTTGTCTTTTCATTTTCTTGATAAAATTCCTTTGATTCACAGAAGTCACTAATTTTGACGAAGCCCAGTTTATCTGTTTTTTCTTTTGTTGCCCTTAAGTGTCATATCCAAGAATTTATTGTTAAATCCAAGGTCATGAAAATTTACCCCTGTGTTTTCTTATTTTTTTTAAGATTTTATTTATTTGACAGAGAAATGTACCCCTATATTTAGAAAGAAAATTTATCCCTATATTTAGAAAAAAAATTCACCCCTTTATTTTCTTTCCTTTTTTTTTTTTTTTTTTAAAGATTTTATTTACTTATTTGGCAGAGAGAAAGATCACAAGTAGGTAGAGAGAGAGGGGGAAGCAGGCTCCCTGCTGAGCAGAGAGCCCTATACGGGGCTGATGTGGGGGCTGATGCGGGGCTCGATCCCAGGACCCTGAGATCATGATCTAAGCCAGAGGCAGAGGCTTAACCCACTGAGCCACCCAGATGCCCCATACCCCTTTATTTTCTTTTAGGAGTTTTGTGGTTTTAGCTCTTTAAGTCATTGATGCATTTTGGATATTTTGATGAATTTTGTATATGCCGCGTGAGGTGGGGGTTCAACTTTATTCTTTTTTTTTTTTTTAAAGATTTTATTTATTTGTTTGACAGACAGAGATCACAAGTAGGCAGAGAGGTAGGCAGAGAGAGAAGGGGAAGCAGCTTCCCTGCTGAGCAGAGAGCCCCATGTGGGGCTCAATCCCAGGACCCTGAGATCATGATCTGAGCCGAAAGCAGAGGCTTTAAACCACTGAGCCACCTAGGCGCCCCTCAACTTCATTCTTTTGCTGGTGTGTACGCAGCTGTCCCAGCACCATTTGTTGGAGAGACTCTTCTTTCTCTATTGAGTAGTCTTGGCCCCCCTTGTTGTAATTCAGTATTTTAAATGGTTTTCATTTGTACAATCACAAAAGTTATTGGGAAAAAATTTAGTGATCCTTCAATATCATCATTTTGTCGCATTTATTTTGAATTTTGTTTTTTTATATTTTGAAATTTTTATTGAAATACAGCAGCCCCAGAGAACAGTGCAGACGTTCTAAGTGTGCAGCTCAAGTGTTTTACACGGTTAGGGCACCCATGCGACCGGCATCCAGAGCAAGGATCAGAATCCCAGTCTTCGCTACCCCAGCCACCCCCTGGTGCTCCTTCCTGGTCACCTACATCCCTCTCCCCACAGGGATAGAGCCACTCTCCCAAATTCTACCACTGATTGATCACTTTTTGAGATTTTCTCCTTACATAAAAGAAATCATGCTGTACATTTTCGTGTTTGAGTTCATTTGCTCAAATTTATATTTTGAGATTAATCCCTGTTTTTATAGGTATTGTAGTTTAAATTTTTTTTTTAAAGAAATAAAATATTGTGTATTCAGTGGAAGGCCCATCTGTCCTTCCTAGATGTGCTTCCCTTCCATTCCTGCGGAGGTTCGTAATTTTTAAGGAATTTTAAAATACTGTTATCAGACATGGTTGGGTATAAATAATGCGTGTTATGGTTTTGCGTATTTTTATTCTTCATATAAGTGGCATTGCATCATCATCTCCCTTTGTGTTCTTAACATTTATTTATTTTTTCAAGATTTTATTTATTTATTTGACAGAGATCACAAGTAGGCAGAGAAGCAGGCAGAGAGAGAGGAGGAAGCAGGCTCCCTGCTGAGCAGAAAGCCTAATTCGGGACTCGATCCCAAGACTCTGGGATCATGACCTGAGCCGAAGGCAGAGGCTTTAAGCCACTGAGCCACCCAGGCGCCCCTGTTCTTAACATTTAAAAGAGCTTTATGTTCTTTACCCTCCGTGATTAATTGTAGCCATGTTGGAGTATTACACTGTATACCTGTACCTTGGAGTGTTACACTGTATACCTACACCTCTCTTCCTTCGGCTTGCTGGGGTTTCTTGCTGATAAGCGTCAGATAGTTGCTACTTGTTTTGCCATTGGAAACAGCACAGCCACGCGTGTCCGTGTCTGTCCTGATCTCCATTACACATGGTGCTGATGTTTCTCTGGGGAGTGTGTCCAGAGGTCGCGTTGCTGGGTTGGCAATATATACATCTTTTTTTATTTTTTAAACATTTTATTTATTCATTTGAGAAAGAGAGAGAGAGAGCCTGAGAGGGGAGGAGGTCTGAGGGAGAAGCAGGCTCCCCATGGAGCTGGGAGCCCGATGTGGGACTCGATCCCGGGACTCTGGGATCATGACCTGAGCCGAAGGCAGTCGCTCAACCAACTGAGCCACCCAGGCGCCCGGCAGTATATACATCTTTACCACTTCCCCAAAGTGCTTGTACTAATCTTGGTGCCACTGTTCCTCCACATCCTCCCCACTGTTTGATGGCATCAGACTTTTAAAATGTTGTCACTGTCTTGTTTTACCATTTGTTCTTTTACTCAGAGAACCTCACTCTCCATTCCGGAAAGCCTGGGAACCCTGTGTTCCAGACACCACCGTGTTCAGTAACTCTTAAACCTGGCTGGTCATCAGAATTACCCAGGGACCTTTAAAAATGCAGATGATTCTGTCCCATCTGGACCTGTTTTGGTATTGGGATGGTTCCTTTATAAAGGTTTTTCACATCATTTGGCTTGATTGGAGAAAATTCTGCCCAGATCATGGGCAACTTTGGGATATGACTCATCTTTTTAATTTTGTTTTTAAAAGAAACAAGGCATTGAATTTAAATAAAATTTTAAAAATAAAAGGAATTTAAAAAAAAATGAGGCTCCCCTCTGCCTTGATCTACTGAAGCGTTTTATGCATTAAAAAATCAAAGAGCTGTAGATTCCATTATAATAAATCTGTATTAGTAGTATGAGTAGTTGGTGATCAGGGTACTTAGTAGCAGAGGTACTAGGAGTTGCTGTAGGAACAGAAATAATGTAGTGCTGGGTTATATTTAAAGATGCTTATGGCATGCCAGATGCTGTTCTAAGTGATTTGCATAGTCTCGTTAATTCTTCCCCTAAGCCAACAAGGTAGCACCATTCTGATTGGCATTTGACAGAGGAGAATACTGAGGTGTAGGGTGGCCAAGCTGTCTCCGCAGGTTCGCCTCGCTGGAGAATGTGGAGCTGGGACTGGCCCCCGGTCATGTGGCTGCCAAGTCCATATTCTTTAACCACGAGGACCTGGGAGTTCTGGTGCAGTGCGAGGGGCGTCGAAAAGCTCCTAGAGCCCCCGTAGTGACGTTGGGGTGTAGTGTGTCACGTGTTGCTGCATAGCCGATCACCCCACACTTAGCGGCTTCAAACAACAGAAGATGGTATCTCACCGGGTTTCTGGGCCAAGAATCTGGGTGCAGCTTCACTGGGTCCTGTGGCCCGTGTGTGGGTCACGCAGTGTTTAGCTGGGGCAGGATCCGCTTCCAGATAAAATCCGTGTTGTTGGCAGGACTCGGCCCCTTGCGCTTGCTGGACTGAGGGCGTCAGGTCTTCACTGTTTTGGCGGGAGGTCCCCCTCGTTCACGGCTCCGTGGGCTTCTCTGGAGGGCAGCTCACGGGTCAGCGGGCTTCGTCGGAGGGGACGAGGGAGCGTGTGAGCAGGTGAAGGCACAGTCTTTGTCACGTGACCTCAGAACTGGCCGTCCATCAGTTCAGTTCCCGTGTTGCTAACTAGAAGCAGGTCACCAGGTCTGTGCCCCCTCCCCCCGCTCAGTGGGAACAGGTCTCCCGGGGCGTGGATACCATGGGGGTGGGGGTCACTGGAAGCCCTTGAAGAAGTCGCCTCCCCTCTCCGTGTAGAAGAAACAGCTTCATGAGCTGCATTTTGATGACCCCATGACGCAGCACAAATGTGCTTGGAAATTGACACACTTCAAGGGGTTTTTATGTCCCCGATGCCAGTAGGTACTTTGAGACTCAACAGGACACCTCTCCTTGGCAACTTTTGGGTGGGAAGGGAGCTCTTTGTCCCACGCTGCTGCTGCTTCCCCCACGAGCCTATACCTGGCCTGACCCGTGGCTTCTAAACTGTATCTTGAACACACATCTGATATCAAGAACATCCGTGGCCTGGAAGCAGCAGCATAGATCTGGTGGGTGGGTGTTTCCTGGTGAATCAGAGTCATTATCTCCCACGGATTTACTTTTGTTCCAGCTTTTATGTTTTCAAGTTCTAGGGCCCTGGGCTCTGCTGAAGTCATTTGAGGGCTGACTCATCCCCAGATACCCAATATCAGCCATTCTAAGATAAGTGAGCAACATCCCCCACCCTTCCTTTCGCTCTGAAGGGCTCTCCTTCCCAGATACACGTCCTGGTTTATGAGCTGTGGCCCTGTGTTCTCACAGCAGGAACGGTAGGGGATTTGGATGGACAAATCCTTACTTTCCAAACCGCACCCCACCCTCCCAAGGTTACAAAAAACAAACCAACCCATCCTTTAGTTAAGGCATTCAGAACAAATACATATGTGAAGAAAGAGCTCAAGGCTCTAATCATCTTTATTTTCACCACCAAAAGATGAGACCCTCTTCCCTTTCCAGAGATTTTTCTCTCAGTTTTTTTTTCCTATGTGTATAGGAGTGTAAACATCCACACAGATTTTTATGAAATTGGGATCGAATGTCACATAAGGCTTTCTAAATTCTCCCCGCATTGAACAGTGTATATATGGTGAACATTTTCTGGTATCAGTGAAAGGTGATTTTTATGATTTTAATGTGTACGTGGTGCTTGGTGGAACAAAAATATGGTTGATTGAATATTCCTTTCCTTGGAAGCTTAACGTTTCTCATTTCTCACTACTAAAAGTCCGTGAGCATCCGTCTTTAATGAAATGCATATTATTGCTAAGTTTTCTTGTTTGCTGACCTGCCTCCCTCTCTGTCTGTGGTTCTGCCGGTGACAACCAGCCTCCAGGCGTGTGGGCAGGTTCTGTACCCTGTAGAGATCTCTCCCACTCCTCCAACGAAGGGGTTCTCGTCCTGGGGCCATTTTGCCTCCAGGGGACATGCAAAAAAACGGTTGGGAGATTCTTTGGGTTGTCACGACTCAGGATGGTGCCACTGATGTCACCTCGTGGGTGGAGGCCAGGACAGCCTCCTGACAAAGAATGGTCCCCTCTGCATGGTCGTTGTGTGGGGCCCGCAGCTCCCGTCTGATGCACCCAGATAGCCTCCTGTGATTTAAAGACACCAGCCCAGTTACCGGCCGGGAGGAAGCATCAGCTCAGCCGTACGTCTCGGTTTCGTGCCTGTGGACCGTTAGGAACATGCTCTCGGCGGGTTCATCGCCCCCCACCAAAAATACCTGTGAGCTCAGGGCCCGTGCTTGGCAGGTACTTCCTGCACTCACAAAGCAAAGTCTTGTCTTGGCGTGAATCTCCGTCTTTGGGGCCGGTGTGCTCATCTCGCTGAAGGAAGGCTGCGTTGCCTGCTTTGTTTTTGTTGTGTACAGATGTTCCACTGCACGCCCCCCCCCCCCGCCATCCCACGTGCAGTGATGGAGGCCGATCATTGCTGTAGATCATACCCCTGTCATTGTTTGCATAAAAGAGGCCTTTGAACAGGGGCCAGAATCAGACCACAGTGGAAAAAGATGAGGCCCCAAAACAATGCCGTGCGACCAGCAGCTCCCTGTGAATTTACGGCGTAGTCTTGCCATCGTATGAGAGCGAAGTAACCTTGTGATGAACCGGGTGGGAGGAAATGAGTATAACGGGAGGAGACAGTGGATACGTGTTTATGTTGGACGAGCTGGCCGAGCTCTCCCGAGCACCCTCGGCAGGAGAGGAAGCTAGGGGTGGTGGGGGGGCGGGAGCTATTTCCTATCCCTGTGTTGTTAAGCACCATTTGGGTAAAGGGAGAAGGGAGAAGAGCCCTGGGATGCTTTCATGCCGTTCTCTTTGGCCCGAGTCACAGGCATACACAGGTGCGATCCGTGGAATGTGCACCACGCAGAGTTTCCGCTTTGGAGAGGCAGGTGCTTTCTGGAGTAAGCGCGTAGTTCTCGAAGACTGTCGGTGATCCCAGGGCATCAGAGAGCTGTCTTGAAGGAGGAAACTTACACTGAGAATTTGGCTTTGGGTATTTATTTCACGTGTAGTAAAGAGTTCACAGGCACGCATTCTGGGCTTCCCGGGGTGACGGGATTTAGGCAGGAGGTGGGAAGGGCCATGCTCTGCTCCCTTGCCCGTCTCCCCTGCCTTCAGGCTCCCTGCGATGGGGGTTGCCAAGGAAGGAATGTCAAGGAATAAGAACCGGGGATTTTACTGCTGTTCTCCAAAGCCAGGATTTCTCAGCCTCGGTGCTCTTGATGCTGGGACCTGATGATTCCTGGCTGGGGCTGCCCTGTGCCCTGTGAGATGCTTCCCAGCATCCTGGACCTCTACCCACTGGATGCCGGTAGCATCCGCAACCCCGAGTTGTGACAACCAAAAAGATCACCAGATATTGGTAAATGCAAGATCTCCTCCGCTGAGAACCACTGGGCTAATAAGCCTTGGTCTCCACACATGGCACGCTCGAGGGGTGTGTCATGTTACCTCCCCCGAGCAGGACTGAGGACATTGAGCGGACGCTGTCTCTCTGTCCGGCCCTTGGCTGTGCGCTCTGTGTAAGTGACATCATTTAAGCCACAACAGCCTGTGTGGTAAGAGTTGTTAGTATTCCTATTTTACAGATGAGAAAACTGAGGTTTAGAGAAAAGAAGAAGCATGTCCAAGTGCACACAGCTGAAAGCTGGTGTCAGGTCTAAGCGTTCGACGCTGGGGCCATGGTGTTACCTACTCCCCAGAAAATCTGGTCAGTGTGAACGAGAACCTGGGTAATCTGATCCCTAGCTAGGTCCTCGGGTAGACATAAGGGTCTGGAAGTACCAGGGTCGGCAGTTCTCAGGGAAGGCAGTTTGCTCCCCAGGGGGTGTTTATTTATGTCTGGAGACATTGGGTTGTCCCCGTGGGGGTGCTGCTGGCATCTGGTGGGGACAGCCCGGGGACGCCTCAAAAGGGCCTGCAGTGCACAGGTCAGCCCCCGCAGCAAAGAATTCACCAGCCCGTATGTGAATGATGCCAAGGTCGAGAACCCCACTCTGGGTAACGACCTTACTTCCCCACGTTTCCAGGTAGACCACAGTTTGATGATCCTGGCAGTCCTGTCTATAAATTAAGATGCGCTTCCAGCGTGGGAGTCCGTTCCTGTTGGGATAGTAATAAGTAAAAACAAAGTCCTTAAATCCTTTTGATCTTGCTTTCATCATTTAATGCGTTTCCAAATGCTTTGAGTTTTCTTCTGTTTTCTTGTGGCCTTTGCCCCAAAGTGAGCCCCCCCTTTCCGGCTTTTTATCTTTAGCCAAGTGAGAAAACACTGGCGTCCGCTGAGTACACTTTGTGCGCCATCTGTCCTGGGAAGTGGGCACAGGCGCAGAAAGTGGGTGTTCCTCTTGGGTATTCATTCCCTCGGGCCCCCTCTCTAGGATGAATCCACCGGAGAGATCACGTTTTACATGAAAGGAGCAGATGTCGTCATGGCCGGCATCGTGCAGTACAACGATTGGCTGGAGGAGGAGGTAAGCGGGGTGCGTGGAGTGAGAACCGCGCTGCAGGGGCATGTCTGCAGGCTGCCCTCGCATGGCAAAGCGGGATGGGGCTCCGCTTGTCACCTGTGCCTACGTAACAGGTGGCCCCCGAACTTAGCGTCAAACAACACGCCTCTGTTTCTCATGGTTTCTGTGGGCCAGGGATCCGGGCATAGCTTCGTTGGCTCCTCTGCTCAGGGTCTCCAGAGGGTTTGCTTGGGTCCAGCTCTCATCTGAAGGCTCATGCGGGGCAAGACCCACTTCCGTGCTCACCCAGCTACCCTGTGCGGGAAGTCAGCTCCTCTCTGGCTTTTGGGTGGAGGCCGGTCCCAGGAGGGCGGGGAGCACTGGGGGCCACGTCCCAGGCCGCCTCTTCTGGTTCGTGGTCTGGAGAATTGGCCACAGCCAGGAGGGAGGAAACTCTCCAGTTTATCAGGCCGATCTTGTTTTATCTCTCTGCTCCAGGTAGGAAAAAGGCACATTTTCCATTCAGTAATATTCTGTTTTCAGTTAGAGGGTGGCAAACTCAAATGCCAGTGGGGGCCAGGCAGGTAAGTCAAAAGAAACAGGCTGGGGTGTGTTCTTCTAGCAGGGTCGACTTTGTATGTTAAGCATATTAGAATATTCTTCCCTTGACGACTGTTTTCTGGGAAGACTTAGAAGCTACTGCTTTTCATCCATCGCTGGTTGTGGTTATTTGGGAAGGTGTGGGCGGTTTCATCTGAGGTTCAAATCCAGACTTACCTGTGAATTCTTAACAGCGTTGACTTAAATTTTGAAATGTATACTGTGTCAATCAAAGACAATCTCTGTTTGGCCTATGAACTGCCATGTTGCGGCCTCCCTTGAGAAGGTTTGCTTTAGGGGAAAGCCGTAGTCCGATTTGCCACTTTCCCCAGCCCCTGTGTCAACTGTAGCATCTGGCCCTCCTCCATGAGAGTCGGGGGCTTAGAGGTGGAGCTCTTAGTGCACCACTCCGCTGACTGTGGTCTGCTTTGCAGTGTGGAAACATGGCGCGAGAAGGTCTGCGGGTGCTAGTGGTGGCGAAAAAGTCTCTAGCAGAGGAACAGTATCAAGACTTTGAAGTAAGTGGTCCTGGGACCTTTTTGTTATTCTTTGCAGCCCTACCCTTATCTCCCCCTCGCTCATTCCCCTGTAGCCCTACTGAGGTCCTTTCTGAGCTCCCCAGGCTCACTTCTGCCACGGGGCCTTTGCACTTGCTCTTTCCTCTGCCTGGAACTCTCTTACCACACAGAGCTCCATGGCCTGCTCCCTTGCTTCCTTTGGGTCTCTGCTCAAATGCCACTGCCTCTGAGAAGTCTTCCCAGACTCGCCATCTAAGGCAGCCCCACCTCACTGCTCACCATCCATCATCTGCCTCACTTTCTTCACTGTGGGAGTCCCCACCTAGGATGACCTTGTTTCTGTGTTTCCATCTCACATTCTTCTCTGAAGAATCAAATTTTTTTTCAGAGCAGAGACTGTCAGCTTGGTTCACTTGTACATCCCAGCACTTGTTAGTCATGGACACATGGGATATCCTCTGGAAAATTTAAAATGATTCACCTCCTTGGAGCCCTCATTTCTTTACATTGTGAAAAGAGTTGAACTAGATCATTGACTTTGATGGTCAAGGGTTCCAGCATGAATATGTGTGGTTTATTGTCCTCTTGTCCCATAAATTGTGTGTTTCTTGAGGGCAGGGTCCTGGCCTGGCACAAAGCCCAGCATGTGCACGGGCGTGTGACCACCCGGGGGAGGTGTGGCTGGGGACAGGCTTCAGGGGTCCTTGTCCTGGCCCTCCCAGAGGAGCTGTGCCTGAGTCTGTCTCTTCCTTGTGCTTGAGTTCTCTGCAGAGATTTAGCAAGAATTCTAGCCCTGATAATTGTCCTTCCAAGTTTAAAAGCATGTGTTTGAAACAACCCATTTGGGGGATTTTTTATTTTCTTCCACGTCTTCACTAACCCTATAAAGTGGCTAAACTGACGGGTTGGGTCCATGGTCTTTGGAGGTGAGACTTCATCTTCAGAAAACCGGGTGATCAGGGGCTTTTGGTCACAAAGTGTGTGCTGTGTGTCGGAGAACGTGCTCTCTTTTTGAGATCTTGAGTCGTACCGATCCTCGCAATGGCTCGGGGAGGGTGGGACTGTTACTGCTGCTTCATGGATGAGAACAGTCAAGAATCAGATACACTGAGCGACTTGCTAGAATTTGCACAGCAGGCAAGTATAAAGGAAAGGGTGGTACTAAGGCCTGTGTAAGATCTGGGCCGATGAACTCGGAAGGACGCTGGACGTCTCCGTTTATCCTCCGCTGGGTGTTCCCCTCCCCACCGTAAGCAGTGGCGGTGTCTCCTGCTGTGTCGCAGGCCCGCTACGTCCAGGCCAAGCTGAGCGTGCACGACCGCTCGCTCAAAGTGGCCACCGTGATTGAGAGCCTGGAGATGGAGATGGAGCTGCTCTGCCTGACCGGGGTGGAGGACCAGCTGCAGGCAGATGTGAGGCCCACCCTGGAGACCCTGAGGAACGCCGGCATCAAGGTAGGCTGACCCGGCCTGGGGCCCAGCTGCTGAGGTGCACGATGGTCCCCACTGCAGAGCGTAGAAATGAGAGAGGAGGGCGGGGAAGAGGTGGGAACTGAGGAACCCGAGAGCGCGGACAGTGACCACGGCCCTGGCTGGGATGGGCCACTGTGTCCCTCCCGCCCCTTGGGCCCTGTTTCTGGAGGACATCTCCCCCCACCCCCCACTGGGCTCCACGAAGGCGGGACTGCCTGCCGCGCCTCCTCCCTCCAGCCGGCTTGGGGTGTCCGGCACATTCTTGTTGAGCCACCGGCCGGCCATCTGCCGGTTGTTCTGGGTGAATGAGTGGCCGCCCCGCGGACTGACCGCCTGTTCCAGCAAACTGCTGTCTTCACACGGTTTGGGGCCAAAAAGAAAAAAGAAACGAAACCCCGGCGTTTAATCCAGAGAGGCCAGCAGAGGGCGACAAAGGCACGCGCGCCGCCTTTACAGCGGGCGCAGCCCCCGTGTAAACCCAATGCCATCCTGTGTCTTGGGGCCAGAGGCCTAGTTCATTGCAAGGAAATGGTCAGCAAGGTCCCCCCTTGTGGAAAAACAGTCCGAAGTCAGAAGGGCTCGCTTCTGTTGCGCCGCGGTGCTCGGATCTGTCACTGGCAACTTCCGTGGACCTCGTCTCTCTAAGTTTGGGCCTTTCCAGTTCCTGCTTCTGGCTCCATCCTGAGCTTCTCCTCAAAGCTGTTCTCTCCAAAAGGCTGGGTTCTTGTTTTTGTTTTTTAAAGGCTTTATTTATTTGATAGAGAGAGACACAGCAAGAGAGGGAACACAAGCAAGGGGAGTGGGAGAGGGAGAAGCAGGCTTCCCGCTGAGCAGGGAGCCCGATGCAGGACTTGATCCCAGGACCCCGGGATCATGACCTGAGCTGAAGGCAGAGGCTTAGCGACGGAGCCACCCATGTGCCACCAAAAAGCTGTTCTAATCCCAGAGTGTGGACTGGACTTCTCTTTCTGGTTTCCTTGGTCAGACGGGAGGGGGAAGGGAGTGTTGGGGGGAGGGATGGGGAGGGGCGGGATTGGAGGCAGGCCTAGAGTAAGGTCCTTCACAGGCCAGAAGCTGTGGGAGCTTGGAATTCCCACTTCGGCCCCTTTCTAGACGCAGCGGCCAAGGCCGAGCGACGTGGGAGACGCGCTGCTGGGCCTGGGGCTCAGGTCTGGGCACGCACCTGCGGTGCCCCTGTCGTCCTGACGTGGGGCCTCCGTACTGTCGTGCACCAGTGACTTTCCATGGTTTTCTAGAACTTGAGCCTCCCAGCTCCTTCCCTGGTGTTTCAGCAAACCCTGAACACTGGCACCAAACTGGGATCACTAAAAAGAATACATTTTTTTTTTAAAGATTTTATTTATTAGACAGAGAGAAAGATCACAAGTAGGCAGAGAGGCAGGCAGAGAGAGAGGGGAGGAAGCAGGCTCCCTGCTGAGCAGAGAGCCCGATGCGTGGCTCGATCCCAGGACCCTGAGATCATGACCTGAGCCGAAGGCAGAGGCTTAACCCACTGAGCCACCCAGGCGCCCCAAGAATGCATTTTTTAAATGGCCAGATGAGGGGTTGAGAGAAGAGGCTGACACCCACCAGGGTCAAGCCCAGAGCCACGGCCCTCCCCCACCCCGACCAAAGGGCCCAGTGCCCGTGTCCTGGCTGTCTCATGGGCTGGGTTTGAATCTGGTTTCTCCGCTGACTACTTCGTTAGTCCTTGGCAAGTGGCTTGGCTTCTCAGGGCTCTGTTTCCTGCCTCAGCACGTCACCATTAAGGTCACATGCACTGAACGTGGATGACACTTGATGGGCACCTGGCACGGCAAACGCTCTGGAAACCATTGCCGTTTGCTTTCCCCGACCTCCCCCGCTGCCAGCGTGTCCTTTGCACAGTGACTCCGCGCCCTTCCCTGCTGGGGGCAGCGAGAGCAGAGGGTTGATGGGTAAACCAGCAGAGCAGGAAGCACATTCCATTTGGACTGTGAACACGGGGATTCTGGGCCTGTTCGCAACGGGAGCTGGCTGTGTGGCTTTGGGGCAAGTCACCTACCCTCTCTGAGCCCATGGCAGCGAGACGCAGAATGAACTGTTGGGAGGGGCAGAGGAACTTGGCATGTTTGCCGTTGGCTTAACCAACCACCTAGAAAGACTGCGTGTAACGTGACAAAACAGTGTTTCCTGTAGGGCATGGAAGTGACCCTCACCCATCCTGCTGTCCCCTTCTTTGAAATTATTTATTGCTTTAAGAAAAATTTCCGGAAGGGGGATGAGGAGGTCAGAAGCCGAACCTCATGATGTCTGTGGAAGCGTGTGGCCAAACGGTTTTCTAGAAGCGTTGCACCAACTTTCACTGTCCCCAGCAGTGGTCACTTGGGGTCCTGAAGCCTTTGGAGTGGGGAATTCCTGCAGTGTGTTGGGGACACCATGAGCCTCGAGATAAGTTAGAATAAATGAGGGGCACCTGGGGGGCTCCGTTGTTAAGCATCTGCCCTCAGCTCAAGGCATGATCCCAGCGCCCTGGGATCGAGCCCCACATTGGACTCCTTGCTCACTGGAGAGCCTGTTTCTCCCTCTCCCAATCCCCCTGTTTGTGCTCCCTCCTAGCTGTCTTTCTCTCTGTCAAATAAATAAATAAAATCTTTTTTAAAAATTTGGAATAAATGGAGTTTAGCTCAATGTTCTTGGGAACTGAGCAGACACGGGCTGCAGGCTGGCCTTGGACAGTGGCCCGGAAGAGCCCCTCTCTGCTGTGGTTGTAGGTTTGGATGCTGACAGGGGACAAGCTGGAGACGGCTACGTGCACAGCGAAGAACGCACACCTGGTGACCAGAAACCAAGACATCCACGTTTTTCGGCTGGTAAAGCATTGTCTGCACTGGGGCCTCGTGGGGACGATGTTGCAGTTTGCGGGGTGACCTCAGAACCCTAAAGAGGGGAGAGAGGAGTGTAGTAACCACCTTGGGTGGGGGAACTTATATCGTTGGGTTTGAGGGGAATTACTGAGTGGCCCCGGCGAGGCTGCAGGGTTCGTTCCTTCTGGTGGCAGTTCAGACGCACCTAGTTACAGTCCAGTGTTCTTACCCTGGTGGGGGTCACGGTCCCTTTGAGAAGCTGATGCAGGACACCATCGGGGCGAAGGGTGCAGACAGGCCCATGCGTGGGGAATTGTACCTGCGAGTCCAGGTGCCACCAGACCCTTGAAGACCAAGTCCTTGGATAAGAAGTAAATTCCAGATCACAGATTGTGGCGGGTCTGTCCTCCTGAAGGAAACCCTTGAGGAGCCTTTGGAAGGAGATGTACTGGGTGGGCAAGCGGGAAATTTCCTGCCCTTGTGGCAAGCGCTTGACCCCAGCAGTGCGGCCCTGAGGAGCTGCTCGGGGCCAGAAGCCGCAAGCTGGGGTCGGCTTGACGGAGCTGGGAGGTGAGGAGCGGGTGGTCCCCTTCCGCCGCCAGAGCCCGCAGACTGGAGGGGCCCTGTCCATCCCAGGAGTGTCCCCTCGACTCCCTGCCTTTGGTCCACAGCCCGCAGCGCCCTCAGGAGATCGGCAGTTTGGGGCCCCACCCGGTAGTGTGGGGTAGAGCCAGGGACAGCTCGTCTTCAGCAGCCGGGGACTCCACACTTGCAAACACTCTTACTTCCTAGAATGTATTTGTAACCCCGAGATCGGTGCTCAGGGCCAGAGTCCTCCATGGCCAAGTGCAGAGCAGGGGGATCCGTCATTGCCTGCCGTGCACGTTCCCAGTTGGGCTCACACGAGGCGACCCCCGCCTTCTCGGCTCTCGTCCTGCCCACGAGCACAGTCCACGGTCTTGGAGGGCCACTTTTTTCTTGCATTTTTGTGCCGTCAGTGATTTCGCTGTTTCAAATCCCCCCTCTCAGCACAGGGCTGGACTGTGTCTGGTGTCGCAAAGTGTAGGAAGGCCCGATGTCCCTCACGGAGAAGGTGCGAGTGTCGGCTGGAGTTCCTTCAGACATGAGCTCTAATGCTGTTGGTTAGGAGTTCCGCGTTCGTGAATCGACAATGTGCATTTCAGAAGATGTGTTTAGGGTGCACTGAGGTGGCTCCATCGGTGAAACGTCTGACTCTTAATTTCACCATCTCGGGGTCGTGAGATCGAGCCCTGTGTCAGTTGGACTCTGTGCTGGGCATGGAGCCGGCTTAAGATTCTCTCCCTCTGCCCCTCCTCCTGCTCATGTGTGTGCGCACGCTCACTCTCTCTCTCTCTAAATAAAGTCTTGAAAAAATGCATTTAAATAAAAACACATATAAAACAAGATTTTTGTATTGACTGAGGGAAATATTATGGCCAAAGGCTCATAGGAACCTCACCTGTATTTCCCCCAGGAGCAATGAATGGTTCCTTATTTGCTAAGTTGGTGTTCAAAGCAACTTTACAGAGCGTTAACTACTGAACATAATGAGACTCAACTGTATGTTGTGTAGATTCTGTATTCTCTACATTCTGTATATTTAGGGGCTGCAAACGACAGTCCATGTGGCCACCTGCTTTTGTAAATAAAACTTTATTTAATTTGTTTTAAGATTTTTATTTTTTTGAGAGAGAGAGAGCATGAGCAGGGGGGAGGGGTAGAGGCAGAAGGAGCGGCACACTCCTCACCGAGCAGGGAGCCTGACGTGGGACTCGATCCCAGGATCCTGGGACCATAACCTGAGCTGAAGGCAGATGCTTAACCGAATGAGCCATCCAGGCGCCCAAATAAAGTTTTATTTAAACACAGATATGCCCCCTTGTTTACCTGTTGTCTGTGGTTGCCTTGGTGCTACGAAAGCGGAGTCGAGTCATTTTGGCCAGCACTGTAGGGTCCCCGGGGCCTGCAGGGGGTACCGTCCGGTGCGCCACAGAAAAGTTGGCCCCCCGGCTAGATGCCTGGCTTCTGTTGCCTGCTGTCCAGCCCCTGAGACGAGTTACCTGAGGCGGGCTCACGGATCTCGCCGTGCCTTCGTTTCCTTATGTGAGAAGGACAGCTGTTACCATTATGCACCTTGTAGGGCTGTTGTGAGATGTAAATGTGGAAAAATCCATGGAAAGGGCTTAGCATAGTGCCTGGCACACAATGAAAGTGGGGTCACATTTAGCTCTTTTTCTTTTACTATGTGGGTCACAGCCGTGCTGGGGGAAATGCAAGGTGGTAGTTGGCATACCGGCTCTCCCGCTTCCCGCAGAATCATAACAAACCCGGTTTGATTTGGCTCTGGGTCTGGTGGCAGGGGCAGGGCGGGGGTCCCGGCTGGGGCGGCCATTGTCTTCATCCCGGCTTCAGGAAGCCGCTGTTTGTTGTTCTGCCATCTCCGGAGAGCACGGCCCCCTCCACCCCTCCGTTCCCTTCCAGGTGACGAACCGCAGCGAGGCCCACCTCGAGCTGAACGCTTTCCGCAGGAAGCATGACTGCGCCCTGGTCATCTCTGGAGACTCCCTGGAGGTGGGTGCGGGGACCCCGCCTGCCGGGTCCTCCTGGGAGTGCGCTTCCCTTCCTGCCTGGGGGGCGGGGGCAGGGACCTTGGGTGACCCACCCCCTCCTCCTCCCCCTCCCCCGCCCAGGTCTGCCTCAAGTACTATGAGTACGAGTTCATGGAGCTGGCCTGCCAGTGCCCGGCCGTGGTCTGCTGCCGCTGCACGCCCACCCAGAAGGCCCAGATCGTGCGGCTGCTGCAGGAGCGCACCGGGAAGCTCACTTGTGCAGTAGGTAGGTGCCCCCCCACACCCGTCCCCACCCCCTGCCCCTCCACACCGGCCACTGATGCACTGGATCCCTCTCTCCGAGGGTGGCTGGACTCTGCTGCTGTGTCCTGGCCCCTTCACATAGGTCATGCTCTTCTCCCCCAACAGACCTTGGCTCTGATATTATTTTTAGTATTTCCCCCTGAGTGAGAGGAGATAAGCGCGCTGCAGGGCTTTTCTCCTGAGCTTGCTTTTCCTTTGCTCAGGAGGCAGGAAGCCGCGTCGCAGAGGGATGCGGACTGCGCACAGTGGGGCCAGATCCGGGCTGCCTGGGTGCCTGTCCCCATCCGAGCCTCTGTCTTCCCGTTGGTAGAATGGGGTCATAAGCACTCAGGTGGTGCTGATGAGAACGAAAAAGGGGTAGATTTCAAAAGTGCTGGCCGCAGGGCTCAGTACCGGCTCCGTAAGCGTCGAGTCGGTCACTGCTGCTGATGGGCTGCGTACCCGGCGCCTCCCACGCAGGGGTGGGGCGTGGACACGGTCCCCCTGCCGCCGCTCCATGGCTGGGGCTCTCGCCGGTCACCTGATGTTCCTCTGACGCTCAGCTGCTCCGTCTGAGAGACAGGAAGCCGATGCTGTGGGGTGTGGGGTGGTTAAATGGATTGGGGCAGAAAAGGCTATAGTAATAAGAAGCGCTCAGTGAAAGGCCACAGACTTCTACAGTGCTTCAAAATAAGAATGAAATGTGGGGATCCTGTTTCTCGCCGCTCTCTAATTTCCCGGCTTTTCTCTCCGGTCCGTGCGGCCCGCAGGTGATGGAGGCAACGACGTCAGCATGATTCAGGAATCCGACTGCGGCGTGGGTGTGGAGGGGAAGGTGAGTGCGGGCGCGGGGCGTGGGGGCTGCTGGTCGTTGCCGGGCGCTTGGGGCCACGGTGACAAGTCATTGTATTGGGTTGGGAGCTGCTCTTCTCTGCTAGCTGGAGCTGCTTTTTCCCTCAAAACATAGCTTTGATGCTTCTGAAAATTCTAGATTCACATTACGAAGCACAAGGAACCACGAAGCATGATCCCCTGGTATTATTACGTGGGAGTCGTGTTATCACGTGGGAGTCGGGGATCTACATCACTCCGTCTTACAGATGACGAGTGATGATTTTTCGCGTGCCAACGCTTAAAAAAAGAGTGTTTTGCTGTATCGTCAGGGCACCATGAATGTACTTGTCACTTTTCCGTGGCCATCACAGTGTCCGTAAAAGCATCGGTCATCACGCTGTCTGCTGATGTCTTGGGGGTCAGAGAAGAATGTGGCGCAGTCTTCCCCTCACTAAAAGCTGCATTTTTTAAAAAGTTGGTGTGTTATAACAGTTTTTCTCTTGCTGTCCTTATCACCTCTGTGCTTGCCTTTTACTGTTTCCTCTGTCCTAATTTGTGACTTCTAAATGGCAACAGGCAAGGATAGGGGTTCCCAGGTTTGTCAGGACTTTGTGTTTAACAGGAGGACAGAGGCCCCAAGTGAGGGCCAGAGATGCCGTCCTGTGCGTTTGGTCCCACAGCTTCATGAATCGGGCGAATCCACACTCTCCTGTGTCCTTTCCTCCCTCAGCCCCCGCCCCCCAGCCTTACAGTTCGCTCAGAGGAACAGACCGTCGTAAGGTGCCTATGTCTGATGATTCTTGGCTCTGGATGCACTTTACGGGGTGGGCGCACCCCCAAGATACTAGATCCCTTTGACCTCCAAATTACAACTGTCTGTGACTTAGAGCGTTTTTTATTTAAATAAATTCCTCTTTTTCAATCACACGTAGACTCAGACCACCTACTGAGCACAGCTCGAAACCAAAGAAGCTCTTCACTGAAGTTTTCCAAAGATCCCCTTACGGTGTCTTGCTTTTTCCGTGGAAAACAAAACAAAACAAACGGGTTTGCCTTGACCTCCTGTGCTTCTGACAGTGCCTGTTTTGTGTGGCTTTCAGGAAGGCAAGCAGGCGTCCCTGGCTGCCGACTTCTCCATCACCCAGTTCAAGCACCTGGGCCGCCTGCTCATGGTGCACGGCCGCAACAGCTACAAGCGCTCGGCGGCCCTCAGCCAGTTTGTCATCCACCGGAGCCTCTGCATCAGCACCATGCAGGTGGGCGGGGGGCGGTCGAGGCGGGGGGCAGGTAGGGGGCGGGCAGGTGGGGGCAGGTGGCGGGGGCAGGCGGTGCGACTCTGCTCACCCTCCCTGGGGCGAGCAGGGAAAAGGCCTGGAACTCGACCGTGCTTTGGAGCTGTGACCCTCCCTGGCTGGTTGGTCGGTTGGTCGGTTGGTTGACTTTATTTTCCCACCTGACCAGTTTTAAATCCCCGCCGGGCCACGTTCCAGCCCAACAGACCTTGGATTGCCCCAGATCCTTCCTCTGGCGGCTGGGGCAGGCCGTCCTCGCCATGGCGGGGTGGCTGTGAGCGTTAGCAGCGGGCCTGGCCAGTGCTTGGCAGGAGGGAGGTGTGTTGTTGCCCAGAGTTGTTAGGATTTTTTTTGCCAGAGGGAAGCGTGCAGAGTGAGATGCGGGCAAATACTAGGGTCTTGGATTTTCCGGATGCTCATGAAAGGGCCAGCAGAGAACGACCGCGGGAGGAAAAACTTGTGTTCTCCAGTTCTTCCGACACCCTGGGCCCCTGGCTCCATGTCCACAGGGCAGCGTCTCACGCGGTCCTCGTGGTCGCCTGCATCCGTTGTACAGATGGGGAGCCTGAGGCTCCGTGAGGCTGAGAAACACATGCAGTGTCTCTTGGGGGTTAGTCTGTATCAGGTGGGGACTCCAGAGCCCATGCTCTTGGTCACGGTGTCTCCTCGAGTGCTGCGATGCAGGGAGGCCTGGATCGTGGCCTCAGCTCATGTGGGCTCTCAGGTGGGGCAGCAGAGCCTGTGGCCCTGAGGGGCCTCCGATGTCACGGTTCTGCCTCCAGCCATCCCAGGTGGGAGTCGAGCTGGGCCGTCCCATTGTTCAGCTTCTCGGGAGTAACATCTTGTTCGCATCTTGTTTCTCACAAAAGAATTCCAGGGTACTTTCCCCACCTCCTCTCTCACTGGCTCCTTTCACATCTGTCATCGGTCTGTGGCAATTAAGTGTACACTAGGAGGAAGGCCGAAGGGTGGGAAAGAAAACATTTTAGGTGTTGAAAAACGATTGATGGATTGATTCCTCTTCATGGACGTTCGGTGAAAATATCCCAGTTAAGTAGTGAGAACATAGGGATGATGGGACTTGAAACCCACATCTCTTTCTGACCACACCATAAATATCTCTGAGACCTAGAGACCCCTCTGGGTCTCAGTCTTCCATCCATGAAATGGGGATGATAAGACCTGCCTCGCCTCTCAGATGAGGCTACTTAGAGAAGCAGAGTTCTGTAAGACGTCAGGTGCTGAAGGCATCCTTTCCCCTCGTCATAAAACCACAGGGCGAGGTATCCAGTGAGAGGATGTTTTAATCTATGGGAAAGGCAATTGCCACATAAAAGACATTGTCCCTTTCTGAGTAAGTGAAGCTATACTGTTCGTGTACATGAGACCCTCTCCCTCTTCTGGCCTCTTTCTCACCTTCTGGAGGTCATTTTAGGTTTTCAACATCTATTGTATTTGTGAACATAGGAGCCTTAAAGTGATTTTTTGGTCAACGTGATCTACACCCAAACAGCTGTTAAGTTCCTCAGACCACATCTGTACTTCTGTGTTAGCTCGTGGGTGGCGCTCTGGATCCGTCCCTGGGAGACTGATCGGCTTGGCCCTGGGCGTGCGCACAGAAGCTGGGCTGGGCGAGCTGACTTCTGTAAAGCTTGTATGTGGTCGCTCTCAAAACATCAATTTAGAAAAAGCTTCAGGATGGGAAATTGTTCTTTGGGGCTGTAGAAAAAACATCTCGCTGTCCACTGTGCTGAAAGTGGCTGGCCGAAGACAAGTCCCTCTTGGAGCCGCACCTTGGCGTCCGTCTCGTTGATAGATGTGGCCGTAGTGTTTTTTTTCCCTCAGGTGTTCTCTCCACGATGAAGGCTTTATGGCTAACCTGGCCCTTTTAGGGGAAGGAGGCTCTTGACATTGATTTACAAAACGAAACACCAGATTCTTGACATTTTTACAACCATCCTTTCTGTGCCACAGCCCAGCTGGGGTAGAAAGTCATTTGAAAGATGGCTTTCACCTTCCAGTTCTGAAATATGACCAGGGTGCAGCTGGGGCTGCCCACGACCTTGGCCCCAGGTGGCACCTGCGTTTCGAGCTTTGTGCCAGACAAACACCCACAGCAGGTGATGGGGGGTGAGACGCCTCTGGTGCCACAACCTTTCTAGTCACTAGGCTGGCTCAGGCTGTCTCTCGTATTCAGCTTTTGAAAGCCTCTTGTCGTCGTCTCTGGCCTCTTTTTGGTTTTCTGCCCCTAGGAATTCGCTTTTGAGGCCACTTTCCTTCCGTGAGCCTGTCGATGCCCAGAGACGGAAGTAACAGAGTGTCAAGTCTGATTTTATCTCCCCAGCCTGGTTTTCACAGCCAGTAGCTCCTGTTTTCCAAGTCAGGAAGCAGACATTTCAGGGAGCGTTTGGAAAGGTCTTTATTGCTCTTGTCTAACAAAGGCAGCAGGTTATGGGCTCTTTGTAAAAATTTCCAGAAACAGTAAAATGTGTCATATAAGAGGGGCTGTGCCTTCTCTGCCGCCCTGCCCCTGGGGAGCTGGAGTATGGAGCTGGGATTGAGCCCCGCAGTGCCCTTTACCTGCTCAGAGTCCCCTCCTGTGAAATGCAGGCGATAGGACTGGATCTCATGGGTGGTTCTGGGGGTTCATGGGGATCGCACAGGGTATTTCTGAGTCCAGCCTGTGTCCCCTAATGCCAGTGTTCACAGAGGGGTGGAGAGTGGTCCCTGGTGCCAAACCACCCGGGAATGACTCCTGGCTCCCATCACTTACGAGCTGTGTTATCTTGGGCAAGTCCCTTAACCTCTCTGTGCCTTACTGTTGTCATCTGTAATAGGGTTGATGATAACAGTACCAGCCTCATGAGGTGGTTGTAATTGTGGAATGAGCTGGTTTCATTAAAGCACTCACAGCTGTGCTGTGCTGGGGAAGTTTGTGCTGTTAAGCGTTGACTGTTACTTTATAAGTGTAGGGATTTTGTCACGATTTTTGTTAACGTCCTCCTTTCTTGTTGGCACAGGCGGTCTTTTCATCCGTGTTTTACTTTGCCTCCGTTCCTCTCTATCAAGGATTCCTCATCATTGGGTAAGAAAATCTAGGCAGGGTATTAATTTTTTATGAAACTTCTCGAAAATGCCACAGATGAGCGAGGAAATGTGCCGTCTAGGCTGTTCAGTCCCCAGGTTGCCGGCGATGCCGTTTAGAACCTTCTCAGATTCACAAGTTTTTTTGAACTGACAAGCCTGTAACCAGACTGAGGAAGTGGGGTCTGATATGTTTGTCGTTCATAGCCCTTGGCCATTTGGACCTGGAGATGGAAAAATGCTTGCCCATGAGAGTCTGAGCTGACCGGTGATTAGCAATCAAAGCAAGACCAAAGGTTCAGACTCAGTGATTTCATTGCGGTCTTAGAAAAAGTGAAAGGGGAGCTCTGGAGAGTACCCTCCCTGCCATGGACCCCAGTAGAACCTTCTGCTGCTGGGTCTCTAAGGCGGCCCAGGGCCTTGATCTCTTTGGGGGGGGGGGGTGCGTGCCTAATGGAGCTTCACTGCTGCTTGCCCTGACCTGCTAGACTAGGGTGTCCCTGGGACATTTGCTGCCCTCAAACCCAACCCCATTCCTGACTTTGAATTCATGTTTCTTGTGATCCTTCAGAGAATGTGTTCAGTCTTTGAATTGCCAGATGGGTGGAATTTGGGTACCACATGCCCTAGATGGAGACCCATGTAGGCCATGCTCCTGGTCGTGAAGAGGCAGGACAGAAAGGCTGGCTAGCCCTGGGGGAGAATCTTACCAAAGTTGCCTGCCTTCTTCTTTTTATGTTGGCCCGTTCACTCTGACAGTGGACAGTGAAATTCTGCTTGCTTCTAATTGGACAGGTGGGCATCTTTTGTTAGGTCCTAGAAGAACAAAAGAACATGCCAGAGTGTAGGCAGGGCTCCCGGAGCTTGGCTGCATGTGACCTTCCATGACTGGACCTCTTGTCCCTCTCTGTTCCCATTTCCTTCTCTCTCCCTCTCACTCATGCAGCCAGCTGCACTGGTTGCCTTGCTGTTCTTCAAACAAGATGCACTCTCACCTCAGGGCCTTTGCACATGCTGCCCTCTCTGCCTGAGATGCTCTTCCCTCCACTTGGGCCTGACTGCCTCTCACCTTCTCTGGGTGTTTACTCAAATGTCACATCCTTTGGGCACCCTCTCGAAAATGACACCACCCCCAGGTCTCCTTCCCTCCCTTCCATTAGAGTTTCCTTCTTAGCACTTACCTGTAACACACAGTGTAGTTTACCAACTCTGTTGACTCACTGACTAGTATGAAAGCTCTCCGAGGGCAGATGTTCCCATCAGTTTTTCATCTGAATCTCCTGAGCTTAAAATCAGCCCTGGCACCAGATAGGCACGCAGTGGGTGGTTGTTGAAGGAACGAATGAATGGAAATTGGGCTGCAGAAGCTGGAGAAACAAATTGCTCATTTTCCTTCAGCTGGGTCTTACCTGTGGTGATTTCTGCCCCTCCATCCCCCCACCCCCAGGTACTCCACCATTTACACCATGTTTCCTGTGTTTTCTCTGGTCCTGGACAAAGATGTCAAGTCGGAAGTTGCCATGCTGTATCCTGAGCTCTACAAGGATCTCCTCAAGGTTCACTGGACTCCCTGACTTCCTTCCCTCACTCCTTCCTCCTCCTTCCCCTTCTCTCTCCCTCTCTCCCTATTGTTAATTGATTTCACACAGACCCTCCATATCTGGTTTGAACACACTGATTGGAACTGCTGGTTTCTTAGAGGAAGGCGTGGGATTTTATTTTATTTTTCTTAAAGTAGTATATGCGCTTGTAAAGAATATTAAACAGTACAGCAATAGGTGAACTGCAAACGAACCAACTAACAACTTAAAAAAAAAAAAGCGCCTGACGGTTCCATCCTCCAGCCTCAGCTGGTGTCTGCTCCTGGAAACGTCCTTGTGTTCACTTCCAAAAGGTGTGTGCATGCTGCCTGTGGTGTGGTGTGTGTGGTGTGTGTGGGTATATGATTTCATTTATTTGTCCCCACGGAATTTTACTGAAGAGCAGATTTATTTCCACCTTAGATCAATTCTCTTTAAAAAATGTAATTTCTCTAGTCAGTTCAGATATGTGCAAGAACCCCCCCTTTTTTTTAAATGAAAATAGGCAGGTTGCCTTGTTAGTGGAGGAGCCCAGCGAGGTAGTAACCTGTTCTTTCTCACTTCCTCATTTAGGGAAGACCGTTGTCCTACAAGACCTTCCTGATATGGGTTTTGATTAGCATCTATCAAGGTAAGGCAGTGCTCAGGGTCAACTAGTCTGTTGTCTGTAGAGCATGAAGGGAAGAAACCGGAACCCTAAAATTTGGTTAAGGAGTGGGACAGTGCGCCCCAGGGGAGGCCCAGCTCGGCATGTTCTAAGGACTAGAACATTCAGCAGAGCAGTAGATCTGAGAGGTGATGCCATCTGCCTCATGAGATAAAGTCAGAGAAAAAGATAATGGATACACTCAAAACCTGCCAAGATGCTTAGCCATTGTAACAAAAAGTGGTTGCTTTCTGGAATGTTCTGATACTTTTTCTGAGGTCAAGTTCTAGTTTTTGAAAGATGTGTTTACCTCAGCGGCCTCCGAGGAGGGCCCCTGGATTGCAGAGACTGTAGGATGACTTGTAGGAGAAGAAAATATCCAAACCCTGCTGGTGTTTAATTCTGTCTTTATGTATGTTTTATAATGTGCACATAATTGTGTCATGGTCCTGGTATCTGTCTGTGTCTGCCCAAGCACGAACATAGAATTTACAGATGCACGTTGTGTATTGGGAGGTCTTACTGACGGGGCATGCAACAGAAGGTGTAGAAACCAGTGAATTTGTTGGCAGGAGGTTAAATTGTCATTAAAAAATAGAGGGGGGGACATTTTTAAGAAGTCTCTCAAAGTATAATATGTGCATCGATTATGCAGCTACGTTTTATGTATAGAATTTCATAGACAATGAGCAGGGAAGCGTCGTGTTAGCCCTCCCTCTCGAACCCTGTCGCAGTGGGCGGTGGTGTGAGGAGTTTTGGGGTTTAGCATCTAGTAATAACTCTGGTACTGCACCATCGGTTTGGTTTCTGCTGTGCTAGAAAAACACGCATTCGGACCCTGTACCCTCCTCCACTTTGCTTTCTTGCCTTGTTACAGGGGCACGATGCTGAGTGTCTCTGGGCTACCTCTGTCATTTCGTGTGTGTGGGAGGGGGTGGTTAAGATAACACATGACCGAAGATTCACCATCTTAACCCTTCTTAGGGGCACAGTTCGCTAGTGTACAGTGTATTCACGGTGGTGAGTTACGTTGTATGTTTACAGTGTTACACTGTTGCAAGAAAACAGCCCCAGAACTTTTCCATCTTGGCAAGCGGAAACTCTGTCCCCATTCCTGCTTCCCTTTAGTCTCTATGGAGGTGACTACTTTGGATTCCTCCTAGAAGTAGAATATCCACGGTATTTGCCTTTTTGTGACTGCTTGCCTCTGTCATTTTAAATAATAAAGTTTAAATTTCTCTTTCTTGTTCCATCCACTCTGGATGGTTATTCTCTCCTGTCGCTCCTGTTTTTCTTCTCTCCATCTCTCTCCCTCCCTCCTTCTCTCTTTCCTCCTCTTTCTCTCTCTCTTCATCCTCTCTCTCTTTCCTCTTCCCTACAGTTTTAGACTCCTTATCATATAAAGTCCAAAGGGAAAATAGGAAACCAGGACAGGGCACCTCTTTCAAACCTCCATAAAGCACCACTCGTCAAGCGCCATCTTTCATGTCTAAACAGAAAACAAACAGAAAGGAGCCCCTGCCTGGGAGCAGGCCTCGGGAGCCTTGGGAGCCCCAGATAGGGAGGGCGAGGGGGAGGGCGGCGGCTGCGGGCAGGACTGTGCAGGACTGTGCAGGACGCCGGCTTCCTCTGCCTTTGCAGGGAGCACCATCATGTACGGGGCCCTGCTGCTGTTTGAGTCCGAGTTCGTGCACATCGTGGCGATTTCCTTCACGTCACTGATTCTCACCGAGCTGCTGATGGTGGCCCTGACCATCCAGACATGGCACTGGCTCATGACGGTGGCCGAACTGCTCAGTTTGGCCTGCTACATCGCCTCCCTGGTGTTCCTACACGAATTCATCGGTAAGACACCTTCCAGCCCCTCCCCTCCCCCTGCAGCCGCAGCCTGGCCGTCGGGTCTCGGGGCCTCCCCGGGACCCGTCCTGAGCTCTTTGTCCCACAGGCCTTGGCACTCAGTGGTCCCCATGTTGTTCCTGGCGTCCCCTTGGGGCAAGTGGCAGCTGTGACTCAGCTTCCTGGAACAGAGGCTCTCGGCTTGATGTCAGTAGGGTTTCCTTTGAAAAGCACACTGTGTGAACTGGCTTAGAAGGGATCCCATTGAGTCCAGCAAAGACTGGCTGGGATTCTCGAGGGAGCCGGTCACTGCGTCGGGCTCCGGGGGGCTGTGGAGAGGTCAGACGTCCAGGTCTCGCTCATGAATAAGGGATAGCCCCACAGGATGTGTCCTTATCACAGGGTGGAGAAACTCCGCCTTTCCCTGAAAACCTCTCTGATGATGTCTCTTGCTGGTCAGCAAACGGTCCTTAAGGTTTGGGTAAAGGGAAGACAGGCATCCGTGAAAAGTGAAGTCTGAGGAGTTTCACACTTGTCTGGAGAGTCTTTCCAGATGGGTTTCGTGCGCACCTGTCGTGTGCTCTGTGGCTTGGGGTGGTGAGCTCTGCCCTCGGGAAGCTGCCACGGGGCCGGATGTGCAGCTGTGCGTGGGCTCCACGGCCGGGCACTCAGTGGGACTGTGGCTGGTGCCAGCCACCTGCCTCCCACCCCGTCCTGTGCACCACTGTGCGGAAGCCCGTGAGCCTCACTCTGCTCTCACAGAACCCTCTGGACTGCGGGCTTACTGTCCTGCAGCAGATGGGGGCGCCTGTCCTTAGCTGGAAGCCCCCTGAGGCTACCCCCGTTTCCAGCTTGGCACTGCCCTCAGGCCCGGCTGCCCGTAGCTTTGGTGATCATCCCAGAGGCAAAGGGAAAACGAAGGGAAACGAGGGGGAAAAGCCTTTCTGCTCTCAGGCGGTAGGGTGTACATAGAAAATCTGACATGCTGTCAGATTCCGCATCAGAAACACCTGTAAGAATTGTTTGTGCCCCTGGTTTTCTTTCCCTGGTGCTGGAAACAGCATTTCACTGACTGTCCGTGAATTCAGCCGCAGAAGCAGGTCGGAGAGAGGAGCGGGCGGGGAGAGTCCAGACTCTGGGAGACTGAGCTGAAGGAAAGGGCCAGTGCCCGGAGGCCGTGTGTCGGTGACGGGATCCCATGCAGAGACAGCTCTGCCCCCACTCACCCCCCATCAGAGCTGTGCCGGCTATTCTGAGCCGAATAGGCCTTCCGGAACATTCCGCCCACTCATCGCGGTCTTCCCGTTTGCTTGCAGATGTGTACTTCATCGCCACTTTGTCGTTCTTGTGGAAGGTGTCGGTGATCACTCTGGTCAGCTGCCTGCCCCTGTACGTTCTCAAGTACCTGCGGAGACGGTTCTCCCCGCCCAGCTACTCGAAGCTCACGTCGTAGGCGGCGCCGGCCCAGGGCGCCGCGGCCTCGGCGCTCTCCTGCCGGGCAGAGTTCAAGTTGCGTTTTTCTTACCCGCTGCCTGTGGGTCGTGCAGGCATCGCTAACACGTGCAGTTTTGACGCGAAGAGGCTCCGCGCGGGGTCCTGACGCCGGACGATGGGGGAGGTCCCTGGAGGGGACCCCGCGGGCCTGCTCGGGCCCCTCGCGGTTCGGCCCGCAGCGAATGTACATATGTTAAAGCCGGCGGCTCCACTGACGGATTTATCCGTGGGTCACTGGGCAAGCTTCCGAGGACTTGCTTTCTGTTGTCACGCGATAAGGGTTTCTGTCTAGTTGACGATCGTAGAGGGGTTTTTGTTTTTGTTTTCAACAGTCCTCCTGTGTGTGTACTCTTTACGTCTTTCTCACTCGTAAAAGCCGGCTTCGGAGAAATGTAAAAGCCCTTGGGATAGGTTTGTGGGGAAAGACAGTGACTTCGGTAGAAAGTTACGCAGGCAGTCATCTCGTGGTGGAAATGCGGGATGTCCTGTCTGAGGCGGTGCTGCTCTCCAAGGCCGCACCGGCTTCCTAGAGTGACACAGAGCAAAGGAGAGGAGGGAGAGAGAGAGAGACAGAGGGTGCCATAAATCCAGCCTGGCCTCCTCCCTCGGACTCAGCATCTCCAGCCCTCGACTTAGCTCCACCTGCCACCTCGTAAAAGATTTTTTGGAGGTGTTCTCCTGCTTTCTTTTCTCCTGGTAACGATGACCAAGCCCGCGACTGGCTGAGGACACCCTCAGACATTTTCAGCAGAGTTGTTGCAGCAGGAAACGTGCCATTGAACAGCTCCTCAACGTGTGGACAGACTGATAAGAGACTCAACTAATGCTTTAGACAACGTTGCACATGTGGCCAGGCCCTCCCGAGTCCCGAGTGCAAGGTCAGGGACGGGGGGCTCTCTGCTCCACAGAAGTCTCTTTCCCATTAGGAGGCTGAATGACAAAGGCAGAGGCATCTCCCACGTTGCTGTGCGTCGTTCATCGGGGGCAGCCCCGGTGGGAGGAGGCCCGGGCTGCCGCTCCGGGGCCCTGGGGTCCGGGGTCTGTCACACTGCCTACGGCTTTCGAGGGGAGCTTGCTTAAAGGCAGCCGGTGGTAGCGATCCCCACCACCCACGGGGATAGACTACACGCCCGTGTGTTTCTCATAAAGCTGTGGCTTCTCGTTTCAGAGGAGGAAGGGGGTGTGCAAGGCCTGGACCAGGCAGGACAAGGCATCCTCGGGGTTTCGAGGCCCTCGGCGCCCAGCCATACGTGCCTGCCATCAGGGCTCGGCCGGTTGATCTTCCAGAGCTGACCATGCTCGAGGTCTTGGACTTGGATGAATTCCTTCGGCCCTTCTGCTTGTGTGGGCTTCAGGGCTGCGGGCTCCGGCTGGTGGCGGCACCCACTACCCTCCGGGCAGCCGGCTCTGGGGGAGCTGGGGGCGGGCGGAGCAGGCAGTGGTCCCCTTGCCTGGGAGCACTCTTCATATGCTCCTGCATGGGTGTTGCCCCTTTAAAACTTCGTAAAATGACCACCGGTTTCAGGCACCGGTAAGCTGGCTGCTGACATGGCTTCTGTGTGAAGACTGTGCGTTTCTGCAGTCATCTTTGCCTGCTCATGCCAGCTGTTCCTGCCGCACAGACCCACAGAGAATACAGGTTGCAGTGGGTGAATAGTTATGTAGGACTAGGACCTTGGTCTAAAGCTCTCAGAAAGATCGAACACGTCTGACTTCTTCCTGACTGATGTTTCCCAGTTTCAAAAGGAGGGGAGCAGAGTGTGGGGCTCAGAGGTTCACACTTGGTTCTGTCTTTTTGGAAGGCTGATTATAAGTCTTACGTCATTCTGTTCTGAGTTTGTAAACCCTGATCCTGGCCTTCTGCACAGACAGAGGATGGCTCCTGGGGTAGGTCTTAGGGAACCATTGCTAGGAAATGGCAGACGTTCAGCAGATAGTGGGAGGTGGTCTCTCTGGTTTCATTCCTCAAGTCCCAAGTGATCCAGGTGTGTGAGTTGACTTTTAAAGTCCACACCTGAGCTACTGCTTGCCATCTCCCAGGAAGGGAGCTTTTCAAAGAGGCTGAAGAAGCCCTCCACCCCGACCTCCCCCTGGAAGTTGATGGATGCTTGTCTTGCTGTTACAAACCATGTTCTGTTGTCTCGGCCACACTCTAGTAGAGGCAGTCAAGGGCCAGAGGGACCGAAATCCAAGTGGAGCCCAGACCGCCGTCAGTGGGCAACCTGTGCACACCACCTGCTGGGGGGCCTCGAGTGTCCAGGAACGCGTGTGCCCCCAAAGGGTGGGAGCCTCCAGTCGGTGAGAGTACAGGATGGTCGCCTGCACAGGTCAGCCTCATCCCAGCAGAGAGAAGTGCGGCACACGCGGGTTGTCTTAGTTGTGGGCGAGGACGAACACCCGAGCTACTTTACAGGAAGCTCCTGAGTTCATTAACCGTAAGCATAAGGATTCTGTTGACCTTTTTCTTGGTTTTCCGATCTGGAAAAAATTTAAGAAGCACCACTGACCCCTTCCCCTCACCCTGGACCTCAGTGGGACCTAGGCCTATGATAGCTGATTTAATTCGAGGCCGAAGGCCCCACAACACGCAATCAGTGCTGTTCAAACATTTCTCCTTAAAGTAGAAATTACAACCCCTCTGACACCATTATGTATTTCTGTCACAGTAAGCACTTTTGTTTTATGATGATTTTTGCTTGATCTTGCGGTGATGGCTGTGTGTGCGTGAGGACAGTGGGATCTGTTTGTGGTTTCTCCTTTCCCCTTCCTTCCTCTAAGAAAATGACCAGACGAGCTTCTCCATCCTCAGTGATTTCTGGTGCCTGACAGTGTGGATCCTAGTTTGGCAGCGGTGTGGGCACAGGTGCGTGTGGCCCGCGGTGCTGGGCCAGGCCAGTTGCATTGACCGTGGTAGCTTGGAGTGGCAGACGTGGCCCCCGAGCCCTGGAGGGCATCCCCGGGAGCATCCTGACATCGGGGCAAACCACCTGTTTGTAGCCGCCAGGAGCTGGGAGACCAAGAGCTGGGATGTCTCCCACTGCGACGGTCGTATTCTCCGGGTCCCAGGCCAGCTTCCCTTAATAATTGAAGCCCTTTTGTGTCCTAGTAATCTTGAATGTCTGCTGACCCCTTCCCTCGGTGTGTTCTCTGCTGAAAGTTAAGGTCACACTGACAACTTTTGAATGTATTTTGAGTTTTGTGCTCATTGGAAATTGACACAATAATGCCTATTCTTCTTCCAGACTTTGCTTTTATACTTTGTTTTGTTTTTACTGGGGTGGGGATGGGAACGCCCTCATGCCTTTATGGGGCAGCATTTTAAACCTTTGCCAAAATTGCCGATGGGACCTCCATGTGCTTCCGCTCCATCCTATTGAAGGCAAACACCTGCCAGCTGTTTTTTTTATCTTTAATCTTCTGTGTGTGTTTCAGTGCGTGTGTGTATGTGACTATGTCATCTCCAGTTTTTTTATGAGATGCTTGGTTTGCATTAAAATCCCGTTACTCCCAGCTTTGTTTTCATTAAGAAACCTACAAGAAGCTTTGTAAATAACAACCGGTTTTATTTCTCCTCCCTTCCTTTAATGTAAAGGAATTTGTTGTGTATACTTACGGGGAAATATTTCCATTAATGATGTTCATTTCATCTTGGACAAGTGCACGTTTCTGAATGGAGCGGAGAGGCAGATGACGTCTTGAGCAGCTCCCAGTGACCCTGAACCCGTGGACCCGTCCTGGTCACCACGTGGCCACGGGTGCTGTCCGTTCAGGTCACTGGGTTCCATCAGTGAATACTGCGTTTGTTGGGGGTGGGGGCAGGGACAAGTGGGGGGTTCACAAAAAAAGCTGTGGCTAAATTATGATTTTGTCGCTCTGGGGCTAACTGTAAACTCTCCTAGGAGTCCGTGGCCGTCCCGTTAGTAGATCCCCACGGGTAATCCGCCTTGCAGACTCTCACCAGGACAGTATTTTGTCATGAGAGGGCAGCTCTGGTACAGGATGCTTTATTTTAGCAGGGACTCCCAGATGATTTAAATTCTCGATCCTGTGATGATACCCATGTGATCCTGCGTGCTCCGAGCGGTTCTCCTTTCATTGTCTGCCAGCCCAGCCCGTTGCTGTTGCCCAATAAAGCTTGTGTACTTTATGCCTCCGGGGGATCATTTTAATTTGTGCGGAACCATGAATTCTGGTGTCAAAAATGAAGGCTTTTTATTATAATGCTGTTTTCTGTGTAACTCATGGTACAAAAAGTGTAAATAGCTTTTTCTCCAGTTAAAGTTACTGTGATTTTGGCAAAAAGAAAAAGGAAGAAAAAAATCCCATTCCAAACCCATGCATTGTTGTTTATTCTGTACTGTCGTCTGTTACAGACATGGCCTCATTTCAAAAGGTGATCAATAGAAGTAGGAAAAAGAGCTCTCTATAAGATTCATTTTCTATTATTACACATGGTCCTTGATCAGTTTAGAAACCTTTTTTTAAAATTTAAAAAAAATTTTTTTAAAATTTTTTCATGTATTTTTTGAAAGATTTTGTTTATTCGACAGAGATCACAAGTAGGCCGAGAGGCAGACAGAGAGAGAGGAGGAAGCAGGCTCCCCGCTGAGCAGAGAGCCCGATGCGGGGCTTGATCCCAAGTCCCTGGGATCATGAACTGAGCCAAAGGTGCCCCACTTTTTTTTTTTTTAATCAGATTTAGGAATCTATCCAGTCACTGTGGGTATTAAGGAGGGCACGTGTGTTGTGTTACACGCAACTCATGAATCACTGAGCGCTGTAGCAGTACTAATGACGTCTTACACCATGGCTAGCTGAGCATAATAAAGGAACGCAGTCACCTAAGTTTGAGGCAGAAGAGGTTTGCAAGCTGTTGCGTACGAAGCGGAGGACATGTTTTATTCATTTCACCCAGTGCCTCTCAGCCAGGGGCGCTTTTGTCCCCCAGGGGATTCCCAG